AAGACACCGGTTTCCCTGTTGGATCAACGACGTTTTCCAAGGTGGAACATTCGCGGGATTTTCCTACAGTTCCGGTCCCACTTGAATTTGAACTTGAATTTCAAGGTGGGCGACTACGACCCCATCAGCTGTACACCAAACAAGTTCAAGTTCAAGCGGGACTGGAATGGTAGGATTATCCCGTGAGTGTTCCTTCTACGGCGGGTCGTTGAACCAGGAGTTGGCGAACTTTGAAATACTGCTGAACCTAAAACAAAGGCCGCATCACACCCTGCCCAACCAATTAATGTCCACGTATCCTGCCCTAGCACTCCCTGCTGGGCCGGTTACGGGAAGTAAGAAAGAGAGAAAAGTAAACTCAGAAGGCAAAGGAAAAAGTGGAAAGAGTTAAGCAAGTGTAATACCAAGATATTTGAGTCATTAAAAAAGAACTGAAAAGTGATGGTGGGTCAGTTAGGAAAAAGGAAAAGTTTGCTGTTGCCACCCAAGAGCGTCGAGCTGGCGCGCAAAACCCTTACCCGTAGGTTCCCTAATCACGTGATCTGAAAGCTGATTCCAGCGATCTACAACTCAGCGCGACGGACGAGTTTCCCTCCTAATCCTATCAGACCGTGGTGTATACAGTTTCAGTGGGTGACCGCGGAGATTAGTTAACGTGGCGGGACTAAATAACTTTGACAAGTCCGGGCCAATCTTACCCGTCAAAATACGATAAGTGAGAATCAGGTCCCCTCTTATCCTTCGGTAGTGCATTGAGTACATCCCCAAACTGAGCAAGCGTTCAGGATACGTCTGCCCCCGTTTACCCTGCACTAGCCGAGTGCCCACTCGTAACACCCTCTCCAAGTCCATTTTGTCTCTTTTAAGACATGGTGGACAAGCCTGAATACGATATTCCAGGTGGGGTCGGACGAATGCCGAGAATAGCTTCACAAACAAATTGGCCGTTGGGATTCCGAAAGAGCGGCGTATAAACCACATCATACGAAACCCTCGACAAGCAGCCTTCTTCCAGTTGTCTCCAGAATGAAGTGTTGATGCGTGTACGATCCCTAAATCGACCTGCTGAGTGACAACAGGGAGTTCACCACCGCCGACAACATATCGGGTGGGATGATTTGCAGCTCCGATTTTTAGAACAGAGCGCTTGGCCCTATTTATAGGCATCGTCCATAAGGTAAACCATTCCCAGAACCTATCCAAGGCACGCTGAATTGCCTCAGGACCCCCCGAGATATCCACAATATTCCAGAGCTTAAGGTCGTCAGCAAACATTAGTGATGACACCCCTAGCTCTCCCGGCAAGTCATTTACATAGATCGCGAACAACAATGGCCCCAATACCGAGCCCTGCGGAACGCCACTAAGGACAACTTGCCTGAGTGAAAGGCTACGCTCCACCCGCACACACTGTTTTCTCCCCTCAAGGAAGGCAGACACCCATTGAAGGGCGCGACCAGATATCCCGTAAGATCTCAACTTTAGTGAGAGCCGAAGATGTGGAACAGTGTCAAAAGCTTTCGAAAAATCCATGAATAGCGCGTCTACAGCGTGGCCACTGTCTACCGCTTCAGCCCAGCTTTCACGAGCTACAAATAGATTAGTCTGACATGAAAATCCTTTGCGGAATCCATGTTGCGCAACACTGAGAAGGTTGAATTTATTCAGGTGGTTCTCCACTGAATCCCTTATCAGCTTTTCAAACAGCTTGACTACTACGCTTGTCAAACTGACATGCCGGTAGTTCGCGGGTAGAGCGCTGTCACCGCCCTTAAAAATCGGACAGATGATTGCCTCCTTCCATTCCGAAGGTAAGCTGCAGCTGTCCAGCGATATTGAAAACACGCATGTAAGAGGACCACTCAGCTCAGCGGCCAATTCATGCAACAGGTTCGGATGAATTGAATCAGGACCGGAAGCTTTAGAGGGATTAATGCCTTGCAGTAGCTCGAAGACCTGAATCTCTGTTATGCTAAATTCATTTAAGCAAGAATCCTCAGGAACTCTTGAAGCCAGTTCAACCTGTGGTAAAGAGGTCTCCTGAGCAAAGACCCCAGTATACTGATCACTAATTGTACAAGCCTTGTCATAGTCAGTTTGCGCACGGGTCCCGTCTGCTCGCAAAAACGCTGGTATAGACAGTTTTGCCCCGCTGCGTCCTTTAACGTAAGCAAAAAACTTCTTGGGATTAGCTGCGGCCGAGTCCGCTGAACCCTGCTCGTACTGGAGACGAACAGTTCTGAGACGTTGCTTACATTTATTTCTAATCTATCGATAGCTATCATAGGTACTGGCTGATGGAGCTGCTTGGTAGGTTCGCCAGCATCTAGACCGTTTCTTGACTAGGTATTTGCCTGTGATATTTATCCGTGGAGACTGCCCTTAACCCACTTTTCCTCATGAGTGGAATATAGGGAGTGGAAACCTCCGTATGGTATGCCTTAAATTTATCCCAGGTTTATTGGACAGAGTCAGCCATCGAGATCTCACAGTTCAGAACTTGAAGCCTTAGCCCGCATTGCACTAAAGTCCGCCCGCCAAATATTCGGAAGTAATTCAACAGCGGTCTCTTTGTGCCTTGAAAGAGCGCATCAAAAGGATATGCATGCGTGATCGCTGGACCCTAGAGGTGCACCGTACGAAATGTCAGTCACGAAGTCGTGGGACTTAGCGAAAACCAAATCTAAAGTTGATAGTATTTGCTTGACCATATACCTAGTGGGAAAGTCCACGAACTGTTGCAAAGGCACTTGGCGCGTCAGTTCAAGAAACTCCGCACCGAATGTTCCTGATGCCGAATTGCAAGAAAGATCGGCCCAACAGACTTCTGGGAAGTTAAAATCCCCTAGAACTAAACACTTGTTCGCAGACTGAGTTCGAATAATGTCAAGTATCCCCCTGGAAGAACTTCCAGGACTTCTGTATATCCCTATAACTAAACTGGATAGAGGAAAAGCATAAAACAGCCGATAGGGCTTCAATAGTCTGATCCGACGACTGGAATGTGCAGGTCCTCAACACATCTAAGTTACAGCTCACATACAGTACAACGCTTCCGCCTTGGCGACCAACGGAGCGATCAGTTTTAAGCAGCGCGTAGCCAGGTAAACATACCTCACCGTCCGTGATATCCGGAGACAACCACGTTTCAGTGAAAGCAAGTATGTCGGGACGAGATTTGTCTACTAGTAGATCCAACTCGTGCACCTTGTTCCTTAGGCTACGCACGTTGCTACGTACTACGTCAAGGAATTGGGCACGACCATCCCTGGGTCGTGCGCCATCAGGATGGGTTCTGATAGGGCGGAAAATAACTTCCGGCTGTCCACCTGAGAACCCACCAGACGGAGGCCTTGCTCACCAGCCGCCCGTCTAGTTTTGAGGTCTTTGATAGCCTCCTTTAACTTCAATCTGCCAGTGGTAGGTCCGGCTGAACGTTGACACCACTACCCTTAAGTTTGAATGCAAACCGCAGTAATGCTTTGCGTTCCTCCGGGGTAGAAAGGACTACGCGAAGTAGTCGGGGTCGTGGATTTGGCGTAGCGATAGGGACGTTCCCCAATCTGGTCAGCTTTCTGACAGTGACACCAGGAAAGGCAGGTGGAAGCAGCTTGCTGACACACAGTTTCAGCCACTTGATGTCATCCAAGATGCATTCCATTGGGAGAGCGGCCGCAGATTCAGTAACGTTACAATGTATTTGTAATTGCCAACTAGGAACATACTCGTATTTTACCTACTTTCATGCAAGAGGACAGGATTAGTTAAAAATTGTCCTGAACCCTTAAGGGTGCAGCCTCTAGCCAGTCTAGAGATATACCTATTTATTTATTTATTTAGAATGGAACGGTCCTATGATGTCAATCACCAATGTTGACCGCAGTTCCACTGGATAAAAGATAGGCTGGACGGGTGATTCAATAGGCTTAGAGCATTCATCTAATTTCCGATAAAACGCACAGAACCGAACGCACGCGCCCATCATTTTAAACTTCTGTGGCCACAAAAAGTGCTTCTGCAGCCGCCATTTCGTTCCGACGATGCGTGGATGTCCAACGTATACACGTTGGATGGTTTCCGTTGTTATCTACTGCGGTGCCATTGATCGCGGTCCTCGTATTAGGCAACCAGCAATAAGCGCGAGTTCAAGCCGTAAAACATAAAACGCACGTACTTTGCTACTGAGCTTCAGGTAGAGAGGCCAGGCTTCGGAGAGGTGGCGGGAAACGGTCTGTGTAGTTTGGCCGTTTTTGTTAGCTTCGTGCAACTGTCTTGGCGTAAAGCTCATTTGACTGCAAAACGTAACTCAGTACTTTATCATCATCATTTTCCTTGTCTGTATTGCACAATGGGAGACGGGATAAGCCTGCCCTACCTGGTTTGGGACAAAATGGAGCTCGAGAGGGTTTTGAGAGTAGGTACCAAATTGGTCGAGGGGTTACGGGGGCAATGGTACCCCGAGCGTCTACTTAGCTTGGGTATGTATTCAATGCACTACCGACGGCTTCGAGGAGACCTAATCCTTACTTACCGCATTTTAACAGGGAATGTTGGACCGGACTTGAGCTGGCTATTTAGCCCGGCTAGGTTGTCTTGTCTTCGCGGCCATCCCATGAAGCTACACAAGCCGCGTTCTGACCGGACCATGGCGGAAACTCGGTTATCGCGTAGAGTTATCGAGCGCTGGAACTCGCTTCCAGAAAGTGTAGTCAGTGAACCTACGGTTAAGGGTTTCGAGCGTCAGTTAGACGCTCTTGGGTGGCAACACGAAACCTTTCCCTTCTCCTGACCATATCCATCTTCAACCTTTCAGTTCTTATTCTGTCATTATCTTCACTCTTTGGTGTTATCCTTCATTTAAATGACTTTCTCTCCTCTTTATCATCCATTTACTTTCTACTTCTTTCTTACTTCACGTAACCTACACAGCGCGGACTGCTAGTGCAGGGAACGTGGGCAGTAATTGGTTGATCAAGGTGTGTTTCGGGTGTTTCGTTTTAGATCTATCAAGACTTAGCACCTTATCATTTCCTGGCTCAACGATTTGCTCAAGAAGGAACACTCAAGGGATTTTCCTATCGTTCCAGTCCATCTGAATCTGTGATGTGATCCCCCGAAGCTGGGCGGAAGTTGATTTGGAAAGCATACTCAAGTAAACCGGCGTCAAAGGTATTGTTGATTTTCTGATATAGTAACCTTATGATCAAAGAAATATTTTCCTGTAGTCGATGGAGGAGGGTCAACATCCACCTTTTGATCAACTAAGGCTATCTGGCGAGAACGACATGATCGAGCAAACTGGTCCCGTTTTTCAATTTTACAATCTACTACGCATGCCGTCCTTCTGTAGTTCCATTGCCAACAAATACCGGTTGTCATAACTGCCTAACAGGTGACTAAGTAGGGTGACTAATTAAAACTGCTCTTCTTTGTAAGTAGTCGTAGACGGTAGTAAGTCCAAGATTTTACTGAGCCCACTAGCTTTCATTGAGTTAAACCCTGGCATCACAATAAAAAGCGTCCAGCGGTGGTAGATGAAATGCAGTTGCAGCGATTCGTAGCCGCGACCCCAGTGGTGTGTCCCAAGAAGCGCACTAAGCCTAGCTGCAAACCAGCATCTGCCGCGGTGCCCCGAACCCACACGAACTATAATCAAAACAAACGCATGACGATGGTGGACTGTCGATGTTGCCGATGACTCGCCGCTTTGAAGGTTCAACATGTGTTACCGATCAATGTACGAGCATTCCTCCAATCATTTGCGAGATTGAGCATGCGTACGCAAATGATAAGGCGATACTGTCAGGTAGTTCACCAAGCACTGTCCATGTCGCATTAAAAAAATTGGAGATGCACCCACAGTGGTCCCTACTCCTTTCATCTTTGTTACGAGGAGCAAAGAGCCACGAGCAAAGCCGCCTGTATAAATTCCACTGGTCGGCACTTGCTGACAAAGAGGTCTAAATGCTGGCGGAGTTAACGAGTTCCTCCGGCCACTGGTACCGATGACAGGTACAGTAAGGCTAGAAATAGCTGTCAGCCACACCTAAGGAGTTCGCGGCTCATATTCGAAAAGGGTCTAGTAGATGGAGCCTCAGAGAACACAAAAACGTTCTTAGCATATGTCACAAGGCGCATTGATTTAATTTGGTTACTTCCAACTTTGATGCTACCCAAAGGTACTCACGTTCAAAAGGCCTATGACAAGGGCCCTACTTGCTGGGTGGTATGCAGCAACGTTTGTAAGAGAAACCTCATCGACAGGCATTGAGCTGGTTTCCGGAATTCATCGGGCTTAGTGTCTAGCTAAAGTGTTTGCCGCGAGGACGGCATTCCGAATGCTGCTACAGAGACTGTTCCCATAGCAGTCATCTGAACCTGAACTAATTCATTCAAAAATACCACAGGATTTAGCTACTGGATTAAGTGGACCGCTCGAAACCGTGTTTCAGCAGTCGTTTGAGAGCGGTGCACTCCCTTACGGAAGGAGGGAAGCTGTAATCTCTCGGTCGGTGACGGAAAAGTTTGCACTCCTGGCTTAAAATCCTTAGGTTACCGGTTCGAAGCCATTTAGGGGCGGGCGTCCTCGCGGTATTCTCAGACCATGCGCAACCGGTGGTGGTCGAGTGGAAGCGAGAATTCGGGACAGCTGATTGACGTATTGCTGACGAGTTGTTTCGTACTTTTTCCGAAAAGACGACTTTAGCCTACCTGTTTATAACAGGGCCAGTTATTTTGACGAGTGTATTAGTCAAAAATCTGGAGGAACCGAAGGGGGTTTGATCGAAGTTTCGAGGCAGACGAATCTATTGGTAGCTCGCGATTTGGTCGGATGAAGTGGACGAAGGCCACACATTGGACGTGCTTTTCGATGGCAATTGACACGGTACTCCATTTGAGAGTTGCGTGATGCTAACTTCTTACGGTAAGTCAGATGAATGAATTCGTAACTTTTACCCAACGGGGCGTACGCGGTCGCCGCAGTTTATCGTTTAGGAAGCCTGTCGCCAGTGGCGTACTGCAAGCCTCTCCTTGAACCATTATTCTCCTCAGTCTATGTGAACGACCTACGCGTAGATACTGAGGTTTCATCCCTACTATTTGCTGATGACCTGAAGCTGTGGAATGCTGTTGATGTTCCTAAGGCTACTCAGCGTGCCTTGGATAAGCCTTGAGACTTCTATATTTTAATACTTCTTTTCACAAATCAGGTAACACGCATTGCCCATCAATTAGCGTACATTGTCCACCTTCCTGGTATTACTCGACGTTGACGAACTTCCCTGTGTAGCAATCTAGGTTGAGCTAGGAGTCGTACGCGCTTCGACTTCACACTGGAGCGACAACTGGAAGAAGACCGCAAGTGGTCGGTTCCATATGTTGCGGTTCGTACGCCACTCTAACGAAAGCTTCACGGGCGACTTGTTTGCGAAATTGTTTCCAGCTTTCGTTAAGCCATAGCTGGAATACTGCGTCCAGGTTTGTTCGCTGTGCCTCGTCCGGGACAAAACACATCCATCCGTGTAGCTTATAACTTAAAAATGCGGAAACTCAAAGTTTACGGTTTTTCTGAGTAAAACCAGTTTTACCTTTTTTCTGATCGTCGTTTTACGGCGTATACATGGTGCAATTCCGCTGTCCTTCTCCTTATTTACCCAAGTGCGTGTGTAGGCCAGTGCCGCATCCAGGGGCAAAAGTTGTGCCTTGCAGGTGACTGACGATCCTGACGGCAAGCACTGCGACGACTGTAACCGCTGGTATCAGCAGCAGTGAAGCGACCTCTGTTAAACAATGCAATATTTTATCCTACAGCGATTGTGTGCTTTTCAGCTGCGTCAGTTGTCGTGGACGTCGACCAAGCCGCCTGGGTTTCCTTCGTAGAGACCTGAAAGCCTTCGATGACACTGCAAAGTTTGGAGACAATTGATGGTCACTGGTCACATGTTCGCCAGACCTTACTAGCAGCGGGCAAATCCTCATGTGGTATGTCTAATAGCCAACATGGACATTGGGTCTTTTCTCGGTCTCCGGAACTTATCGACGCTCGCCGGCATATCCCGGCTGAAAGCGAGCACAATGAAACTCGCAAAGAGCTCCGGGCAAAACTCCGCGCTAGCCTGAAGAAAGTTCGCGAAACTTGATGGGCTCATCGTGCGTCAGAGATGGAAGTGGCCGCTGCCCTTGGCAACCATCGTAAGTTATTCCGTCTGATACGGGAAAGGGGCAGCAGGAGACCTGGTGTTAATGAAACAGTTTATGATGAGAGTGGACAGCCTATCCACAATTTGTCAAAAAGCTTGGAGCGTTGGGCTGAGCATTTTGAAAAGCAATTTAATCGGCTAGAATTGTTCGATTCGCCGGTCACTGATCGCCCTGCTCCGTGGGCTGTCCCTTTGGATCCATCCTCTTGCTCAGAAGTCGAACGTGAGATCGGACTGTTGAAGTTGAACAAAGCCGCGGGACCAGATGATCTTCCTCCAGCCCTCTTCAAATTCGGAGGCTCTGCTCTTGTTGATGCTTTACACGAATTACGTGTGAAACTGTGGGAGCAGGAAACTGTCCCAACCGACTGGAGCCGCTCCGTTATTGTTCTCATCTTCAAAGGCTGCTCGCGCTCGGAATGCGACAACCATAGAGGAATCAGTCTGATCTCCATCGCCTCAAAATTACTCGCCTCCATAATTCTTCACAGACTGACTGGCGCTCGTGAAAACCAGATTCGTGAGAAGCAAGCCGGGTTTCGTCGTGGTCGTGGCTGCATCGACCACATCTTCACCTTGTGTCGGTTGTTGGAGCACCCTTACACATACTGGCGGTCCACCGTTGTCGTGTTCCTCGACATCAAAGGTGCCTTCGATTCGGTTTATTGATGTGCCCTTTGGAATTGTTTACTCAGGAAAGGTGTGCCTGAGAAACATGTAAATATTATCCAAGCATTATATGCGCGTAGCACGGGCAGAGTGAGGGCTTACGGCAAGCTGTCGCCACCCTCCAGTATCTCCAGCGGTGTGAGACAAGGATGCCCGCTGTCACCTTTCCTTTTCAACTTCGCTATTGACGAAGCCATGGAGTTTGCATTTACAGCACATGACTTGGAAGGTGTGGAGCTACTCCCAGGAGAACGAATTCTTGACTTGGAGTATGCAGACGACATTGCCCTCATCTGTGACAGCTCCCAGACGTGCGAAGCCGCGCTGGACAGATTAGCACTGGCTGTCAGCCGCTTCGGGCTTTGTTTTGCACCATCGAAGTGCAAAGCGTTCCTCCAAGATTGGCAGGGATCGCCTCCTGCGCTGACCCTTGGTGGGGATCAGCTAGAAGTCGTTCAGAAATTCAATTACCTGGGAAGTTGTATCAGCGCCCTTGAGATCGAAGACGAGATCACGAACCGTATAGCGAAAGTTCGGTGTGCTTTTGCTAACCTTCGCCACCTATGGCGGCGGCGCGACCTCACTCTTGCCCTGTAGGGTAGAGTGTACAATGCAGCGGTACGTTCGACCCTACTGTACGGTTGCGAAACCTGGCCCCTGATATCGGCGGACATGAAGAGGTTAGTTACGTTCGACCATCGGTGCCTTCGCAGCTTGGCTCACATCTGGTGGGAACACCGCGTGAGTAACGAGCGTGTTCGACGCATTGTTTACGGCCCAGGAAAAGGAACTGAACCGCTCAGCACCGTTATTACCCGCACCAGGCTCCGATGGCTCGGCCACATGTTACGCATGCCAGCCCACCGACTCCTTCGACGTGCGTTGTTTGCTCACCGGGGATGAGGGTGGAAGAAGAGGAGGAGTGGCCAAGCGATGACTTGGTCCAGGGGAATGAAGTCCCTCACTTCGGAGCTGGCCTCGGTTGGAGCGTCACGGCTCCCTGGTTGGGGTCCAATAGACGGTAAACACGTTTGGCTGGATACACTTGCTGACATGGCAAGGAGCCGACCTCATTGGCGTTCGTGCTGTGAGTTTCTTTGTCCCTCCCCATCCGTTTTAGCCTCCCCCTCCATCTACGATCTCATTTCGTTGGGTAAAACATAATAAATTTTTTTCTTTTTGCCTAGGAGCTGGCTGGTAGCTTACCGGAACGATGCCTATCCGTTGCTGGTAGCTCAGCTGGCATGCAACTGTTGTATCTAGTTTTCCCTTGTGTATTGTATTACGTGTATGTATGTA